TAAATTGCATCTTTCATATGGGTCTTATCATGATATACTGCTTAGTATGTTTTTCTTGTAGCCTTTATCCTCAATTAATTCACTGCCTTCTTGAGGGAAAAAAAAAACATTATTCCCTTCATTATCCCCATAGCAAAAATCTCATCAGTGGTCAGTCAGTAAATATTTGCTAATGAATTTTTTCAGAAATGAGTATGGTAGCAGTTTGATAATGTATGCACAATGTGCCAATCTAGAGTTCAATTTAAAACATATTCAAACCTTAATGTACAGGCACTAATGAAATATATGGGCATAGATTATTGTAGAGTCACAGAGTTTCAGCCTTGGCTGACTTCTCATAAATTATCAAGTCCAAGTCTATTACTTTTACATAAGGAAATCAGTCTTCTCTAGGCACTAAACTACCAGAGTAAGAGAACCAATTACTTAAATATTTCATTTTATGAAAAAGCAGTAATTTTAGTTATCTGCACAGCTTTTGTAGCACCTGGTTCATACACAACAGGCACCCAAACGTAGATTGAATGGATTGCTTAATGGAAATGGAATCCACTAACTGGATATTTAGATCCAGACGATGTAAAGAGCCAGAGTTCGTGCCGTCAGCTTTTCACAAGCTCTGCAAGCGGTGCCACCACTTATGGCTGCGCCTCTAACACATTTTGCTGGGTCTCTCTTGCATGAGATACAAGTCTTGTTTCCCATTCATTTTAGATGTTCTCTGAGCAGCTGCCTAAGCATATGGATACCAGCTCTTCTTTTTAGTTACAACTATAATCCCTAAAATCCTAATTATTGATAGACTGTATTCTTGCTGAATCTGTAATCATACCCGCCCTTCAAAAAGAGAAGATATACATCTTTCCTTTCCAGGAACCAAGGATGACTCAGATCATGTGGTCTGGAAAAGAGAGAACAGTAGAACAGGCAAATTTTCCCTTGGCCAGTTCCTAGGAGTGACTCCGCAGTCTCCATCTAGATCACAGGGACTGAATTTACTCACTCTCACTCATATTTTTCCAAGTCTTAGAAACAAAAGGAGATACTGGAGATAGTGTCCTTACCTCCCATTAGCTAAGTTCCCCAGTTATAAAGCAGAGGTTGAAGGAGAAAAAACCTGAGGACCTCCGGCAGCAAGAGTTTGAATCAGCGTAAGCCAAGCACCGTGGTTTGGCTTCCTTCTCCTGGCTGCATGCTAAAGCCCTGACCTTCAGAAACGGTGTTCCTGGAACACAGATTCACTCAGAGGAAAGATCAAACAGAATCGATTTTAGAAATTTCCAATCTAACTTTGCTATTTTCAAATAAGAAAGTTGAGAGTCAGAGAAGTCACATTGAAGGTGAATCGACTGGATCAGACAGTGACAGGTCTGGGACTAGAATGGGCCTTGCTATCTTTTTCACGGCAGCTGGCATTTTCTACCTTTCTTCCTCTTCCTCCTAGCTGTTTGCGGTGAGCTCCTGCACATGTACACGAGCCGTCTTGCATCCAGGCCTCTCACTTTCCTGAGCTCTTCCTGACTCAGGGACTTTTCCTCGGATCCCACGTCCATCAGCCCCTCTGACCTGTCCTATCTCGGAGGACAGCCGTCACTTTTCTCTCGTTTATTTCCTCTTCTTTCCTCTTGTCCTTCAGGGTATAGGGGCTCCTGTTCACTCTCTGCCTCTGTCTCCTCCTTCTCAGTCCCCCTCTGCTCCCTGACTTCCCTGCTCAGGTTCAATTCCAGGATCTCTCTAGTCACCCGCTCTTTTTTACTATGTCCTCAACTCTACTTATTGGTTGTGTTTGATTTATTTGGCAACAATCCAACCAATGAAATCTGACGGAGAGAACCCCACAACTATGCTGGCTGACGCCTCCATAACAGCGGTTCTCACAGAGCTCCCCACACTGCCAAGGGCAGCACGAGGTGGGAACCTGTTAGGAACCTGAGTTCCCAGACACACTCAGTGAACCAGATCAGAGCTGCTTGGAAGGGGACACGGCAATCTGCATTTTTAACAATCTGGAATGGGAGTTAACAAGCTACGGGTACTTCTGATACACCTTAAAGTTTGCACAATACTACTCTAATTCTTGGTCTTTACGCTCAGCTAGCTATGAACATTAACCATCAGTCTTTATATATTTTCAAATTAGTGGTCTTCTATGCTTTTCATATTAGCTTCTTCAAATCTTCTCAATGCTCCTCAAATCTATGATAATACCCATCTCTCCTCATTCTGTGGAAACAGTGACAGGCCTTATTTTCTTGGTCTCTAAGATCACTGTGGATGGTGGCTGCAGCCACAAAATTCAAAGACTCTTGCTCCTTGAAGCAAAGCTATGACCAACCTAGACAGCATAGTAATAAGCAGAGACATCACTTTGCTGACAAAGGTCCATGTAGTCAAAGCTATGCTTTTTCCAGTGGCCATGTACGGATGTGAGAGCTGGACTATAAAGAAGCCTGAACACTGAAGAACTGATGCTTTTCAACTGTGTGCTGGAGAAGACTCTTGCGAGTCTCTTGGGCTGCAAAGAGATCAAACCAGTCAATCCTAAAAGAACTGAACCCTGAACATTCATCAGAAGGACTGAAGCTGAAGCTGAAACTCCAACACTTTGGCCACCTGATGTGAAAAGCCAGCTCATTTGAAAAGACCCTGATGCTGGGAAAGATTGAGATCAGGAGGAGAAGGGGACAAAAAAGAATGAAAAGATTGAATGTCATCACTGACTCAGTGGACATGAGTTTGAGCACAGTCAGGGAGACAGTGAAGGTCAGGGAAGCCCAGCATGCTGCAGTCCATGGGATCACAGAGTTGGATACAATTTAGGGACTGAACAACAACTCGGGCTTCAGAGATGATCACCCTCTGATTTATAGTTCATGGTTGAGCTCCCGTAAGGACCTGCCACCACGTTCCCAGACTTAATGCAGTTTGCTGCAATGAAACAGTGTCTCTCTCCATGTCGAAGGTCAGCCTATGCACACATCTACATCCTAGATTCCTTTCCTATCAGTACCAGGGACTTTCTCCATTTTTCCTCACCAAGTTCTCTCTCTCTCTCTCCTGGCCTCTTCCACCCAACTTCATCATAATTTAAATTCACACACTTGGGGATTTTGATTCGAAATATGATAAAAAGCACTGTAGATGTTTAAGCAAAGGAGCAGCATTGTCTGGGTTACAGTTTAAAATGACTTTTATCCTTCATGTGCAGAGAGTGGATTGCATGGGCTGAAGCAAAAAGATCAGTTTAGCCGTACTAGAGATGTAACTAGCTTTGGGCTATGATTTGGAGGTAGAATTAATGGGGATAGGTGGAACAAATCAAAAGCAATCTCAGTCTTTTTGGCTTTTAACAGCTGTGTGGATGATGATGCTATTTATGAGAATGAGGAAGACTGGGAAAGAATAAGATGGCTGGAAAAATCAAGAATGTTTCTGGCATGTTAAGTTTCAACTGCTCATTGAACAGTTCTGAGGAGATAGGCATCTGCTCGAGTCTAGAATTCCTGGAAGACAAAAGAAGTAGAAATGTAGATTTAGAAATCATTGGCCTGTGAATAATACTTAAAGCTCTGATATTTGATGAAGTTACACTGATAAAGTGCATAGAGAGAGAAGGTAACCCACGACGAAGCCCTGGGCTACTTCAGTTTTTAAAGTGGGGATGTGGAGGGAAAAGTTTCCAGCACAGATGAGTGAGAATGAGCAATTGGTGTTCTGAGAAATTCTCCTAAACAGTTCCCAGCCAAATTCCACTGCGGGGTAAACTGAAATAAGAACAGAGCAGCAACCATGAGTAACGGCATTGTGCTCCACAGGAGCAGTCACACTGAGACAGTGACAGCAGAAGTCGGCTTGGAATGGGTTGAGGAACTTGTGTCGGTGGATTAAATTCCTGCCTGAGGAGAAGCAGAGAAACTCGTCAACCTTTCATTCTAGTCCCTGCTCAACAGACTCCAGAAATCAAAACAGTCCTAGAAATAGGGGCTTAAACCCTTCAAACTGAGGCAGACTTTTGTAGAAATAAGAATGGTTGTTAAAGGCTCCTCTCTCAAAAGCTTAAATAAAGGTACCATGCAATTTAAACAGAGTTGGAATGCTAAAAAATCAATATAGAATTCCATACATGAAACAAGGACAGGGTAGTTACCATACTAAAATAACAACCACAGCAAAATTACCTCAGCAACAACAGGTATTAAAATAGATTGGAATTTGATATTACCTAGGATTAAGTCAAGTTTAATATAACCAGCCCATATATATTTGAGAGTTGGCAGCACACACACAGACACACACACAGACACACACACACTTGCCTTCTCATCATTTGTATTAGGCAGTCCCTTAAAGATAGCATATTTAATTTCATGGCTGATAAAATATGAGAAATAGCATCCTCGTCAGCATGTATTTACCAAGTCCCTGGTGTGTTTATACAGGAAAGAACATCTGGAAATGAGCAGCATAATTATTACAACATTGGGAAAATAAAACATGGAAAGAATCAAGTCTTAATCAAACCCACAGCTCGTAAGAGCTGGTCGTCAAGCCGCACGGGCACTGTAGATGATAAACTGGCCTCACGCTAAAGGGTGACCTGAACGAAATGAGCGTCAAAGCGCTGCTGACCACGGAGCTGACACAGCCGCACCTGCCGGGGCCTCGCGTCTTCAGCAGACGACTGTTTAATTGCCGGGATATCATACCCCTCTCCGGCTCAGGCGTAATGGCACAGACGCAGGATTCCTGCTGTGATGAAGCACTTGACAACAGAACTTTTCATCTGAGATTGCAAATATGCCAATTCTAACCTATCATGTTCTTGTTCGTTCATTTTTCCCCTCGAATTTTAAATTAGCAGAGATACCTTGAGCACTTATTATGTGCTGAGCACTGCCACGTTTGCCTTGAGCATGCACACGGGGAAGGAAGAAGCCCCCAGCGTTCACCTCCACCTTGGAGGGAGCGCGGGGCGGCCGCGCGGCTCGGTCTCCTACCAGCTCGTGCGCGCCGTCCTCGTCGAAGTCCTCCTCCACGCCGTCCGTCAGCTCCTCCCCGTCGGCGTCCGGCGCCCCCTCTGCGGGCTCCTCCAGAGAGTGCTCTGCGTTCTCCGACACGCACTCGTCCTGGATCAGCTCTAGGCTCGCTTCCAGCTGCTTCTTCTGAGCTTCTGGGGGCGGGGGGAGAAAGCAAACGGCTGCTACCTTGGGGTGCTCACGAGCCATTTGGATAAGCCATGAACAAGCAGTCTAGGAACGGGTCAGCTCTGTACTATGAAGGGTGTGAGGAAGACAAAGTCATGTTAAGGTCGAGCTAATTCAGCTGTGTGGATTATGCTCATATACAGGCATGTGCGTACATGTAAGCATAGTATGTGTTACAGAATTAGCCAAGTTTGGGGAATCCAGAGGGTCCGTGTATGCCAAGAAACAAAGATTTACGTAAACAGATTAATCTTTCTGGCTGTATGTAGTCCTTCTGATAAAGGCGTTTTCTCTGAGGAGAAAATACAGCAACAAAAAAAGGGGAAATCAGATAAAACATAGAACTTGTTCACTCAAGGAAAGAGGGTGAAGAAAGCTCGTTGATGAGCTCAGGCCCGAGTGAAAAAGACAAAAATTCACTAGGGAAAAAGTGCAAAAGCAGGTATGCTGGCTGTCAGACAGCATGTCCATGTGACCAATCCTTTGATACTGTATTCTAAATTTTGTTGGTAGATGTGATTAACTGCAATGGTTAAAATTCTGGGGTTGGAGAGCCGGGTGCAAGGTCGAGCTTCATCACTTACCAGCTTTGTGGTTCTTAAATGATTAACTCTCTGTATGCCTCCATTTTCTCACCCACACAATCGGGATAGATACCGCTTCAAGTAGTGAATCCAAGCACTTAGTATAGTGATTTGCAAATAATAAGTGCTCAACAAATGAAGCTACATTCTACATGAATAGAACTCTTTCTAATACCAGGGTGTGTGCATTCCATTCACAGAAATTTGCCCAAGTCTGAATTATGCAGACAACACAATAATTACTTTCCCTAGTGGCTGGTTTGCATCTTTTGTGAAAATATCAAGAAGCATTGAGTATTGAATAAATGAGATCGTTCTTAGGTACTTCCCTCTCTTATTCCCATGTGAACATAACTATCCCCAAAACTGGGTGCTTCTCACTCATTTTGACTATTATTATTTGGTCAGATGGTTACCCCATTATTTGCTTTGAGTTTTAAAAAGATGTTACATTTTGAGTGGGCTCATATTTTATAGCAGTAAGAATAGTTTATAGGGCCAAAATATTTTGGGGATATTCATTCCTGGACTCTTTCATAATATGAGTTAAAAAGAAATAAACATTGTCATATACATTTTGACTCAGCACAAATCTTTGCAAATATGTAAATCAATAAACAGATAAACTTTATGTACAAATAAGCAGAGATCTTCTATAAATAATTTAAAATTGCAATAATAGTTACTTATGAAATACAGGTGTAACATCAAGGAGATATTGTGGGTTCAGTTCGACCATTGCAATAAAGTAAATATCAAAATAATGTGAGTCACAAGAATTTTTTGGTTTTCAGTACATATAAAAGCTATATTTACACTATAGTCTATTAAGGGGGCAATAGCATTATGTCTAAAAAACATACCTTAATGTCGAATGTACATACCTTAATTAAAAATACTTTATGGCTGAAAAATTGTAATCATCATCTGAACCTTCAGTGAGTCTTAATCATTTTGCTGGTGGAGGATTTAAATATTTCAAGAAACACCAAGATGAGACACAAAGGCATGAAGTGAACAAATGCCATTGGAAAAATAGTGATGATGCCTCTAAATGAGCTCTTGCATTTTAAATCTTCAAGTAATAAAGTATATGTGTTGAAAACAAGACAGAAGCATTGTGCCCTGGCCCTGCTGCGGAGGCCAGACTGCTAGTTCCAGCTTAGTTACTCACCAGTGGATTTATACACAGAGGATTGGGTCTGTTTTGGCTACTTGGTCAGGCCATACAAACATATTAAGCTGACCTTTCCTTAAGTACAAAAAACCTTTCAAAATAATATGTAGATGAGGAAGATTAACAAAGTTTATATTTGGGAAGTGTTTTGCAGACTGTGGAGGACAATATAAATGTGTATTGTTACATACAAAAGGGTTACATGTACTTCCTTGTGAATATGTCAAGATAACAATAACAAAATCAACAAGTCTGAAACAAGAAGCCTGATAAGATCAGAGAATGACAGTGAAAAAACCTGTGGAACTGAGGTTATTCAAAAGAAAAGAGCTGACATATTCAACCAAGGCTAAAAATAATTAGAGGCATTTTAAAATGACAAAACCTTGATACTTTCTCTTCACATTTAGTTTACATATATAGATGCGGATTATATATTCCTTGATAGATTTTTAAATTAATTTGCTAGCTTCAGATTTTTCCATGTAACAAAGTAATGATGTAAACTCTGCTTTGAAAGCTATACATTTTATCTTCATTTGCATACCTGAATGTTCTGATGGAAGCAAGAGGCATAAATTCTCCCCTTTTCTCTGACATCTAAATAAATTTTACATAGAAAGTCCTATGATTACTACAAAGTGGTTACTGTTAGAGGGTTTTTTTTTCCCCTAAATCTAGAAAATTATTTATTATTTTATTTCCAAATAGGGAAATAGGTTAAAGAAAAAAAGTTTAATGTATAAATAAAGTATAATGTATAAATATCTGGATTAAAAGGAAGGCAAATCAGGCAAGAGATACAACCAAAACCACAGTGAACTTAACTATTACTGAAAATTGCAAATTTTTATCCATCTCATCTCTCTTCACATATCATTGCTTTATGCAGTTCCAGACCTTCAACTTAGGCTGACCAAGCTACACACATGACTAGTAAGTACCTGCTGAGAAAAAACTGTGATGAAAAACAGACTTACCATATAATCCACTCCTGATTATATATGTAATCCCACTCCTGAACATATATCCAGAAAAGATGAAAACTCTATTTGGAAATGATACATGCACCCCAACGTTCACAGCAGCCTTACTTTCAATAACCAAGATATGAGAGCAGCCTAAGTGTCCATCAACAAATGAATGGATGAAGAAGATATGTCACTCACACACACACACACACACACACACACCCACACCCACACACAATGCAATATACTCAACCATAAAAAGAATGAAATAATGCCACGTGAAGCAACATGGATGGACCTAGAGATGATCAGACTAAGTGATGCAAGTCAGATAAAGACAAATACCATATGATATCACTTATAGTTGGAATCTAAAAACAGTGCAGAGGAACTTATGTATTGGGTTAGACAAAAAGTTTGCTCAGGTTTTCCAGTAACATCTTACGGAAAAACCTGAACTTTCTGTCCAACCCAATACAACAGAAAAACAAACTCACAGACAGAAAAACCTGTGGTCACCAGAAGGGAAGGGAGGGGAGGGATACATCAGGAGTGGGGGATTAGCAGATATAAGTTGTCACATCTAAAACAGGTAAGCAACCAGGATTTACTGCATAGCACAGAGGACTACATTCAATATCTGGCAATAACCTATAATGGGAAAGAATAGAAAAAAAAAGTATGAATCATTTTTCTGTACACCTGGAACTAACACAATATTGAAAATAAACTATATTTTAAATTTTAAAAAAAGCTATGATGGACAGACTACTGAGCGCACTGAAAAGCTTGGAATCCTCGGGCATCAATCATGTCATGCGCTCCACTCTGCTGCGTCTATATCACTGATCCCTTGGATGGCACATGGATTTGCTACTCTGGTCTGATCTTCTACTTCTTCTCCTAAGTTTATACTTATCACTTGATGCCCTTACTTCTAGCCACTTTGGGTCACTACGTTGCTTGCTCAAATGCCCTGGCTCTCAAATCCTGTTGTTGGCATTTTAAGATCAAAAGGAGAGAAAAAAAAAAAGAAAATGAAGGTTTGGGATCAGATAACTATCATTTTATTAAAAAATGTTCCCAATCTTACAATTTTTCCAACTGCCAAACTTTCTTATTTTAAATCATTGTGTTTATTCTTTTGTTATCATACATAAATGGGCTTCTGTTGAAATTCACATTCTATTGGAAATTCATCTGACCTGGCATCTCTGTTTCTTCTCTAATGATATCAGGAATATTGGTTCTTTAAGAATTCCCACTTTTTGATATTGGAAGTTTATATATATATAACCACCCTCCTCCCAAAAATTTCTGGTCACAGAATCTATGCAGGACCAGATCTTGGAGCTGTGTAGTTCTCATTTGGCTTTACATAACAATATGATTCAGTTATCTTTGGAATCCAAGCTGACTTTCCTGATCTTCTTAGCTGAATACAATCCCTTCTCCTTTGATTAACCAAAGCTTGGATCAAATAGTTCTCCTGTTGTCCTCTCCTTTTCTCATTAGTGTTTAAGTTTCCTTGAAACTTGAGCTATTGCTTCAAAAGGTCATTGTCACACTCTAAGCGGATAATAAAGATACCGATCTTTTGTAAAGTGAAAAATGCAATACAAGTCAGTTATCAAGAAATATTTTGATGTGCTCTGAATGCCTCACACACAGATGAGAGAAGGTATTAGAGAGAATATAGGATTTGAGATCCACACTTTTGCTAATTACTAGTTCTAGTAATTGTAATTTTCTTTTCTGAAAGATGAGCATAAAAATAACATCTTTCAGAAGGTCTCAGTGTACTGAAATGAGGAAAAAGAAGTGAATATGTTTTTAAATAAAGGCCACACAAACACGTTACCTTAAGAGGTTCCAAATAATTATTGAGCTGAATCTGTATTGACTGCCTAATGGCTACAGATAAACCGTCCATGGCAAAATAACTCATCACTACAGATCACTAAGAATTATATATTACAAAGACAGTTTTGTTTTTGACATGGTCCCTTAATTTCTGTTTAGACAGACTATGTTTTAAGTTACTCTGTTTTGTGTGTTAATATGCAACATACCAGTAACTCCTCTGACGGCCTATTTCAAAGGTAGTTGTGCATTTATATAGTTTATTGCAAAAAACCCTATAACATTCTCATTCATCCACTCATTAATTTGAAAGCTAAATGAATGGGAGATATTGTCTGAGTTGAGAAAAAAGGCTTAATTGATTCATAGGA